ATGTAATTCATTCTAAAATTGACACAACAAAACTGCATTAAACATCCACCAAATCACTGTATGTTGATTTAGCTATTGAAGCTTTTAGATGTTGAAATGGTTTGATAATGGCAGAGCTCTGTTTTAAGTTCTGTTAATTGATAAAGAAACTGCAATTGTATTGGTATGTTATTTCTGCAGGAGCTCAGTGGCATGCCTTAGAGCTGAAGCAGTAAACTGATAAGGGAGGTTGTTGATTGATGCCTTTTAAACCTGTACTTGCCAATAAATCAATGCACCGTACCTCCTCCATCTATCACAACCATAATTATTCTCTTGGAAAATTATCATTAGTTTGCATCCCATGCCTGGTTGAGTAACATATGAGATGGAAACATCGATAGAAGAGCATGGAAACATGTATAACATGCAGTCCTGTGTGAGGTGTGTAAGCAGAGTCATTCTTGCTTGCTGCTGAGTACTTCTGTATCGATTGCATTTCATGTTAACAATGCACTGTAACATAAATTCAGGATTCTGGATACCACTTCAAAACCATGGTCAGAAACTATAATTAAAAAGCAACAAACCCTACTTTAACATACACACTTTATGTCAAACTTTATGTTGTTAATTGTTTTTGTTGGGAAGTTTAACAGCTCATATTTCTATCTATTATATATTGCTATGAAAACATCTCCTGCACAAACTGTAGCCATCATGTGATTAATACTGTTCTCACCATAACTTCATTGTTCAAGACTATATTTGATTACATCGTGAATCTTTACTGCAAAGACCATTCTTCACCTGCTTACAGCAAACGGATAACATAAACTAACTTACTAGGATTTGTTGTTCACTAGGTAGCAATATTGGGGGGAAAATAGTGATGCGTCGATAGTGTGTCATCCCAACAACATATGTTATCGTCCCTGGAAGAACAAGACTACATTAGTTTTGAGTCCTCAGGGTAACGTTAGCCTCCCTACCTGCTGTTCTTACTGTCATGTTTGCGTATTTTACCTACGACTTTGTACCAAAGTATCTGTGTAGGTAACACTCTATGTAGCTCTTGTATCTATGTGCAGAGTAGTACTTAGTTTAGTTAGTATGTACTCTAAATGTGGCTTTGCCAAGAAAAGGTAATATTCAGTAAACTTTCCTTTCCTCCAAGGACAGAATCTGATCAGTAGTCTTTCATCCTTTGATTGCCTGTTGAGAGAGACAGGAAACACTTCTCCCACCCTACCAGTCTTAATGAAGTCATCCAACTACACAGAGCCGGTGTTAGGATCCCCCTGAGCCCCGATGAGTGTATGGATGGCTGCATACCTTTGTACAATGGGCATGAAAAAGAGAAGAACTCCAGAGAGGAAGCCTATTGAAACCCCAGAGGGCCTAGAGAGTGAGCTCTCGGCATTATTATTCCAACAACATGCAATTTGAGTATCTCGGAAAGTGTCACCAAATGGCACTGCTGGGATTTTTCGAACACGAGTTCACACCCCACCAGGAAGGCTGCTAAGCTTGTGCTAATTGAGAGTGTGTAACACAGATGCTCTCCTCCGGGTTAGAGGGAAATGAGTGTAATGACGCAGGCTGTTTCCCACATTCTCTCTGAATAATCCTGCAGATCTTCAGCAGTCGCATGAGACATGGCTCTCCTTTTTTTGTCCTCTGTGGGGGACATGACACCGAGGCCTACATTTCAATGCTTGCCATTCGTTTAAGTCTTAATGTACTGTAAAGAGAACATTCTGGACTTTCTAAGGATGTAACACACATCGCGGTGCGGACGTCTTCCATCTTTTTAATTGGGAATTGCAGTGCATAAGTGGTCCCATCTATAAATATGTATTGTTCCCGCTCCCTTTAAAATATGTTGTTTTTAGTTTTCAGTGTTAGCTATATGATCTTAACATTTTAAAGGTTTACTTCAAGGCTTTCATAATGCACATTTTAGCCCATGTACTTTGTAGGGGAAAGTTGGAACTCATTGTGAACCATTTTCCATAATCCAGCAAAACATGTTTTATTTGTGTTTCCAAAACTCATCAAATGAGAAAGAATATATAAGAAAATGTATTTTATTTTTACCAACTCAATGCAGTTTTTGTGGGAAAGATTGAGCTGATGACCTCCACAAGGGAAATGTTGCAAAACATATAAATAAAATATGATTGATATGATCCCAATTACTTGAACTAAGATTTAAAGAAAGGGTAATAATTCAGCTTATTTTTTTTTTTTCATAGATTCTATTCACCTTCAGCTCACTGCCTGTCTAGAACACGTTTCAAACTCAAGGCCCGGGGGCCAAATCCGGCCCTTGGTGGATTTAATTTCGGCCCGCAGGATAATTTCTAATTACTATTAGATCTGGCCCGCCGGTATGTTGCACGCACACCTTCACTCCATCCTGAGGGTTTCCTCAGCTCAGAGCCTGACCCCAAACATTGATGAACTTGCACCCAAGATGAGATGCCAAGTATCTGCTTGAACTAGCATCACAGAGCAGCACACTGAGCTGAATGGATGTTTCCTCCTGCACTTTTTTTCTTGTGACAACAGGGCATGTTTGGTTTTTTCTTTGAGGGAAATAGTTTTTTTGCAGCTGTTGTTGGCCTGTGGAAAAATGTAATCATAAGAAATGACTCTGCAGATAGAGCCATAAGAAATGAATGCAACTGATTATTTAATGTTGTTTTTATAGGCAATAATTTAAGCTTTGTTAGTTCCAGGTTNATTACTAATGCCCCTATTGGCAAACGTAAATCTCTGTACCAAATCTAATGGGACTGCAGTCATTGGAGTCATTGGATCACCAAAATCAGTAGAGTACATTGCCTGGGAAACATGAATCTCCGTGCTTAACTTGTTGCTAATCCCTCCAATATTTGATTCAGATTTTCCAGACATTTCTATTTTTAGAGACTTAGTGCTTTGGTTTATTGTTGAGTAAAACATCAATATAGTTTTGGTGGTAACTTGCAGCTTAATCAATGCTGTTCTTGTTAGTGATAAACCTTTTTTAGGGTGAAGTATTTCTTTATGTTATTGTAAGAGACACATCAAACGGGAAGGAAAGTCTGTCTTTTCAGCCGTTCTGATCACATAACAGTGTGATGAAACTGCTTGGGTTTAAATGGTCTGCACAATACATCAAAGCTCTTGTGCCTACCATTCATGGTTTATAGCCTCCTGGGCTGTCAGTCTCTGGTCTTGATCCACTTCCATCAAACGAGCAACCAGACTTTTAGCTGTCAGAGAGAAAACATAGAAAAACTCAACAAAAAGGGATTGTTTTCCTTAAGGACAGAAACATGACGTGTGTTTGGCCACTCTAGAGGAAAGAAAGGAAGAACAGTATTTTGATTTTGAAAGGGCTGTCATTGTGTTTCTTTACAGTGTTAACTTTGTCCTAAAAGCACCTGAATCTGAGATTTCATCCCAGTACGGAGAGTCAAACTCATAATCGCCGGCCAGGATCTTTCGGAACAGGTTCTTGTCGTGGTTTTCAAAATCATCGTCGTCAGTTTCATCGTAGAAAGGAGGGTTGCCTGACAGTCTTGGCAGAGAAAAAAGCACAAACATACTAAATATAAACAAGGCCTGTAACAGTAAGTTATATTACATGGACATGTTACACTCCCAGACATTGAAACTGCATTTGTTCTACTACTTTTCATTCAGGTTATTCATTGTATTTTTTTTCTTCTGGATTGCGCCTTTTGAAGCATAACACATGTAGTTCTAATCTACCAATGCAGTCCTGATTCAAACCAAAAGTCAACAGATCTTTTGCGAACCCATGGTCTTTTAGAAACTAACTAAGTACTTTTGTTGTCTTAGTTTAAGCCAGCGGTTTTCAAAGTGTGAGGCGCGCCTCCCCGGGGGGGGCGCCAGAGAGATTCAGGGGAGGCGCAGCGTGAGAAACAAATAACGAGAAACAGTAAAACCTAGCTAGTTAACTTTAATGCGAGCGGCAACATGGATCGATTTTTAGTGAAGTTACCTAAAGTGAGAGAGGAGGAAGTATGACCACGATTATTTGATGCTAGGATTTTCATGAACCGGTCCTGGCAGGGGCGGACTGGCCATCTGTGTGTTCTGGAGAATCACAGAACGGCCAGTCGTCAGCGGGCCGTTGACAGCCGGCTCGGTTTGCTGACGACCGGCACGGCGGCACCGCCCTTCATTTTAATTTTAATAATACTTAATTTGATAAAAAGCAAGTACCGGTCAAGGCCACAGCCAGAGGATAATCTATTCCTGTCTACATTGCATCCCCGCATCATCCGCCTGTGCGCAGACTCATTGTTCCCATTAAAGTAGGGGTGAGTGTAACAAGGAGGCAGAGTTGACGTTCAGTGTGCTGCCGGGAGCATATAAGGATTTATCCACGATGTTGAAAATGTTAAAAAATAAATAAAAAAATGTAAAAGATAAAAAGGTTTAAAAAGTGATTGTTTAATGTTTTAAGGAGATGACGTTACTCATTCTACCCACAGTGCAACGGGCAGTCAGTGAGTCAGTACGATAGATTCAAACACAGAGACGAGACAAGAAGAGAGAAACAGTCAGTCATTTCAAATGGCGTGCTCAAAAAAGAGAAAGGCAGACAGCGAAAACAGAGCATGTAATGACATTTTCTCTTACTGGACCTCTTTGAAATGCAATTGAATACCCTTGCATTTATAGCAACAACAANCCGAATTTATAAACGGATATTTTGTTGTAATTTATTAGTCAACGTAAGTAAAGAATACCGACGATAGACTTCTCAGTAAAGAATACTAATGGTAAAAGGGTGTCCGTTGGTGTCGACGTTTGTTTTGATAAAGGGAGTTCTTTTTTGGGTTCCAGGTTTAATATGTGCAATAAGTTCATTTCAATAAGTTCTGCAATAAACATTGAACCAGTCCGGCCCTCGACTAGTACCCATTTTTTTATTTTGGTCCACTGTGTGAGTTTGACACCCCTGATCTAGAAGATAAATGATGAGGATAAGAGATGAGTAAACAGATGAATTAGAATTTTATTAGCATCAAAGTCATCAACTCAGTACAATGAGTACGGTACAGAGCTCACAGATGCAGGACAGGACCTGCAGGTGACCGCCGGTCCTGGCAAACATCACATCTACAAATACACCTGTAAGTGCGTGGCGAAATGAACAAACATGGTTTTTAATAAATACAGTGAGAAAAGAAAGCATTGCTTTAAACTGTGTTACAGTGTTCAAACAGTATTTATTTGCCATCTAAACAAAGAGAACGGACTACATGATATAATTTATTCACATACAAATCAGATATTTTGTCTCTCGTTAAAATCTAAATATTTATCTTCAACAATGTAAGAAATAATGTAGCGATATAATCTGAATGATTGGCATTTCTACCAATCTATAGAGCAAATTAAAGAGATAACATGTATAAATAAAAGACTGCGCTGAACAGAGTCAAACCTTAGATTCTACGGATTATAAATATCTTCATTTTTATAAGAAATGCACATTTTAATATAACTTCACAGGTGTTTACAGTCAACAACAGATTGGGTGGATTAAGACAGTGGCCGTGCACGAGCCGAAACATATTTAATTTTTTGACCTTTTTTACTGCTGTCTTTTTGTGACCAGGGAATGAGAACCCCATGGTTCAGTGTGTGAGTCCCCACATTAGTCTCGTGCTAACACACACACTGAACCACCACTTATCTGACAGCAGCAGACATGCGTTAGTTACTGTAGGCGGCCATGATGGGCCTGACAGCCGGCAAAGGACTATAGACTTTTACTTACAGGGACATGGACTGTATCGAAAGGACACCAGGAATCACAGTTTCTGCAGCCATTCGAATATTGCTCAATTTCCTCTAGAGTGATTACAGAGAACTCTTTTTCTGTAGCTCATTATTTATACTCGAGGGGACCAGCGACAAGAAAGGAAATATTGTTATTACTGTTAATCAAGTATAAGGAGAAACATCTATGGAACAAACATGAATGAAAGAGCTAAAAAAAGAAAGCAATAAAGATATGGCAATTAAAAAAATTGTTCAGAAATGTGAAACATATGATTCATAATTATTTCAGTACAATACAGGTCAGCAAAGATGGTGACCTTAAGTTACCACAAATCTAAAATGATGCATGTTTTCCCTTAAAAGCTGCATGTGGTCATTCAATGCACACTTTGCTTTACAGTTACAACCAAATATTAAGACATGTGTGGCGCCGTTAGTCAGTGTCTAATCACAAAGGACACAATCAAATACAAAGTACATACAAGTAAACTGAGATCTAGCAAAGAAAAATACATTTTTAGTCGCGTGATGAATAACGATGTCATGACGTTTCTAAAAAAGGAAAAGCTACAAATTAATTTGGATGCATAGAGCTGCTATGTAATGAAGACTTTTTCAGTTTCATTCTACTTACATTGACAACAGGGGGTGCTAAATGAACAGTGGTGACAGACAACATAATATATAGTGTGCTTTTTAAAGTAGCCTCGGCATGGCTTGTGGCAAAAGGCGTGGGTGCTCTGGCCTGCGATACATTTGGCGGCAGCGCATCTTTAACCACCAAGTGGCTGTAAATGTGAAATGAAACAGCAAAAAAGTGAGAATGCATGCTGTTTTGGCTACTTCTACAAAGGTCTCTATATACAGAATCTTTACACTTACAGCTATGAGGTTCTTTCCTGAGCAGGAAGTAAGCAAAGGAACATAGTGTTTTCGTGTGTTCTTATGTGAGAAGCTGCCTAGTTCAAAATACAATACCGGGCATAATAACTCCCAGTCACCAATCCCAGCATTGTTTGACGCACAATAACTGGTTAGTGTGGACAATAACAGATAGGAAAGATTACCATATTCCCCCTGTGACAGGAATATGTGATCTTCTCCATGCGAGAGGACCAGCACTTACTGAGTATCACGGTACAAGGTCAACATTTCCGAAGCAAAACCTTTCTACTGATTCTAAGAACAAATACTGTAATTGCAAGACTGGCGCAGAGAAGTTTCCCAAGTCGGCTCATTAAAAAGGAATCAAAGCCGTATTCAGCACAATTATACCTTTCCTATATTCTCTTATCTCTTAAGAGAGGAATAAGAAAGAAGACTTTAGCTGTAAGACGCAGCTTGACGGCAAATCTGTTTCTGCCCCTAGAACTCATGTGTTGGGAGATAGAAGTGTTTAATTTAATCTGACGTAAAATACCGGAGGGGGTCATTGAAAAAAAGACACAATAAGTGTAAAAAGAAAGCGGCACTCGGGGAAAGGTAGCACACAGCCTCCATGAGATGATACTAATGCTGCAAGTGAGGGAGAAGCAGAGTCAGTGTCACCATGCTAGCAGCTAATGTACAGTTGTGGGGACTGCAAAGGTCACATAGGAAGGGGTGGGGATTCGCAGTGGGGTGGGGGGGTTCTCTAACCCTGCTCGTCACCGCCCTCGGTGGCTGTGTTGAGAGCAGCTTCTCCATTACAGCGTGATGTCGGCTCGGCCTCCTGCTGCGCCGGCCTCGGCTGCTGTGGCTCCCCGTCTGAGGCGGCCTCCTCCGGCGCAGGTTGGCTTATCTCCGCCCCAGCAGGGAGCTCTGTGACGACAGCAGGCGCTCCCTCGGGGGGTGCTGCAGCGGCTGGAGCAGCAGAGGGGTCGCTGGCAGGTTGGGGAGCAGCAGCGGTGTCTGGAGGGGCAGCAGCAGAGGGGCTGGCAGCCCTCGAGTCGCTCTGCTCAGGTGCTCTCAGCCTCTTCATGATGGTGGTGACACGCACTGCTTTCTGTTGAGGGAGAACAAACCACGTTCAAATATGTGACGTTTTGTTTTTTGTTTTTCAACCGTTTTACTCTGTTTGAAAATTAAATAAAATTGATTATTATTATGTAACCTGAAAAATCAGCATGGAGCACAGCAACTCTTACTAGACTGCCTGAACTGTTATGACCACATAATCAAGTTTTTCTGAGCACCAGCGCCTCTTTTCAATTGTTTTGAAAAAAGAGAAGTGAGCACATGGGCGTCACTTGTGGCAGCCTTGTGAAAAAACGTGGCATCGAGCTTCTTTTACTGATCTTTCTGCTGTATTTGTGCTACAACTCCAAGCACTTTGATTTATAATATTTCGTGACGTCATTATAGAAATTGCAGAAAAAAAAACTATCATACCAAAAACCAAAAAGCCTTTTTGTTTGAGCAGATTAGCCGAGCAGACCCTGCATGATGCTGCCTGAGTGTGTGACTTTTAACGTTGTACTTGGATCGCCTGATTGGTGCTCATATTAGCCCAAATAGATGGATAGAAAAAATGGCAAAGATAGAAACTATTCAAAAAGCTCTGCGAAGGGTTTTCTGATGAAACGCCAGTAGGAGCAGCGACTTACCTTCCATTTAGCCCTGGCAAAGTTCTTCTCTATTTGTGCACACACGTTTTCCTTGATGTTCTTATCTGAAGCGGCACCGCCAGAGATCCTGTTAGGAAAAAAATGGGAAAAGCACAACTTTACTTGATATCCTATCCTTAGATGCCCCTGGCTGCAGCACAGTATTACTCAATTTGTTTTTTGTTGACTTTTGAACCTTTTAAGGATTATTCCAACTGAGAGCTTTTCTCCTTGTCTTTGTTCTTGTTACAAATCGATTGGTGTCCACAGTTTATACTTAGCTGCAACTGCCTCTGTCAGACACGTCTAAGTGATTGATGAAAGTATTTAATGCAAGCATTTTAACCCAATAATACTTTGTTTAGTAACTATCAAAACTTTACAATACCATAATATATCATGAAAATATGAAAACACTGTGACAAAGGGAAAAGGGCTTGCTTGAAATGATCTGCCTACAGAGAATGATCAGTTGAATCCTCAGATTCCCTCGGGTTAACAGAGCTTTATAGCCAGTACCATCAATAGGCAGCTGTTTTCAGCCAAAGAAAAGATAGAATGACATGTGTTCTCTGCATTTAACCCATCTTAGTACCAGGAGTCTAGTACTAGGAGTCTAGTACCAGGAGTACCAGGAGTCTAGTACCAGGAGTCTAGTACCAGGACTCTAGTACCAGGACTCTAGTACTAGGAGTCTAGTAACAGGAGTCTAGTAACAGGAGTCTAGTAATAGGAGTCTAGTACCAGGAGTCTAGTACCAGGAGTCTAGCACCAGGACTCTAGTACCAGGAGTCTAGCACCAGGACTCTAGTACTAGGACTGCAGCACCAGGACTCTAGCACCAGGAGTCTAGCACCAGGAGTCTAGTACCAGGAGTCTAGTACCAGGAGTCTAGTACCAGGAGTCTAGTACCAGGAGTCTAGCACCAGGAGTCTAGCACCAGGAGTCTAGCACCAGGACTCTAGTACCAGGAGTCTAGCACCAGGAGTCTAGCACCAGGAGTCTAGTACCAGGAGTCTAGCACCAGGAGTCTAGCACCAGGAGTCTAGTACGAGGAGTCTAGCACCAGGAGGCTAGTAAGAGGAGTCTAGAACCAGGAGTCTAGTACGAGGAGTCTAGAAGCAGGAGTCTAAAACCAGGAGTCTAGTAGGAGGAGTCTAGTACCAGGAGTCTAGCACCAGGAGTCTAGAACCAGGAGTCTAGTACCAGGAGTCTAGAACCAGGACTCTAGTATGAGGAGTCTAGTACCAGGAGTCTAGTACGAGGAGTGTAGTACCAGGAGTCTAGTACCAGGAGTCTAGCACCAGGAGTCTAGCACCAGGAGTCTAGTACCAGGAGTCTAATACCAGGAGTCTAGTACCAGGAGTCTAGCACCAGGAGTCTAGTACGAGGAGTCTAGTACCAGGAGTCTAGTACCAGGAGTCTAGCACTAGGAGCAGTGGGCAGCTATTGCACAGCGCCCGGGGAGCAATGGGAGTGAGGGGGGGAAGGGGGATGTCCGGTGCCCCAAATAGCAGTCCCCACTACTAAAACCGGCAACCCTAAGGCTCACAGTCCAAGCCCCTACTGACTGAGCCACTGCCGGACATTAAACGCTCTATAAACCCACGGTACACCACCTGTCAGC